CTTACGAGGTACCACTCTGATCTGCTGTGCTGGTGTCTTCTTCTGCTCCACTTCCTTCCCTAAATCACTCTGTGCCCTGCGGGGAAAGCAGACTTGCATAGTTGCAACAGGATCCGTTGTCTTCTGGCTTCTGATGGGGTTCAGTGATGGGCGGACCCCCGAGGCGGGGGGAGGAAATGCCAGCTCCATGCAGCAGCACCCTTGGGTTCTGGAAACCACCTCACCACTTTGTGCCAAGGGGTGTTAACAGCCCTGTGTTACAGCTCGTGCCCTGTACTCTTCCTGTGGTTTCTGACATACTGCTCACACCTTAGTAAATAGCTCCTTTATGAAGCCTTCCTCAAATTACCCTGATTTGGGTGGGCCACCTGTTTTCCCGCTGGGTCTTGACCAACATGAATGCCTCCATGACCTCCCCCTAAAACTGCGGTCACATCTCCAGTCGAGGTCAGCGGGAGATTGTCCAGGAAAGACAGCCCTCTGGAAGGGGACCCGGAGAGGTCTGGCCGAGGAGAGGCTTCCACCTGTGAACCATCAGGCGGGGAAGTGTCAATCAGCAAGCAACATCCCCAATATGAAACCAAGGTCCTGAGGTAACCACCTGTGCCCCCAAGCACAGGAAGAAAGGACCCTGACCCAGTTGGGTAGAGACGGCTCTAGAAAGATTCCACCCTCACTAGTAGGGGCAGGGGGCAGACAGTGCACTGAGGCTGACTTTTTCCTGTGTACATTTCCAGGTTTGGGGGGAATGCACAAAGTTATCTTTCACAATAAGAAAACAATTTCATGTAGGAAAACTGAAAAAGTGGGTGGAGCTGGGGGCAGGGGTGTTAGAAAGCTTCCCCCTGTGAAGGCCCCTGCCTTACCCTGGCCAGCCTCACTTCCTGGGAACCTCGCCTGACCTTGGACTCGGCATATGCCCTCTCTGAGCACCCTTTTGCTGTGGGCCAGCGAGAGAAGCAGGGGGAGAGGGCCATGCAGACTGTCCCGCAAAGGGCAGGAGGGCTGTGTGCATTACTTTTATGATCCCTGCTGCTCCTTGGACCTGTCAGACCCCACCCAGCGGCCTGCCTTGTCAGTCTGGTCTGACGCTGAACCTAGTTCACTCGGGCCACCCAGTGTCCACCTTCATGGAGCGCTCCTGCATGGCTGGCTCCATCCCCGAGAAGCACAAGTCCTGCCCAGCTGCCTTGTGCCAGGGGAAGCCCAGACCTGGCCTCTGGCTTGGCTCTGACCTCACTTGCCATGTGACCCCGGGCTTATGTTGCTTTCCGGGCCCACTGCCCTCCGTGTACAAAATGAAAGTCTGCTGGACTGGGCAAAGGAATTTCCCTAGGAATGATTCTGCAGCTTTCCCTTTCCCTTGCCCGGCAAAGCTCACAATGCAGCTGGGAGAAAGGGAGAGAGGACCAGGGCCTCTGGTCCCCTTGAGAAATACAGTGCCCTCTGTGGGAATGTGTGGGTTTGACTCCCACCAGCCAGGGTTAAAGGAAAGCCATTCAATCAAATGAAAGAAAATAAAATGTCTTCTATGGATTTTGTGTCAAGGCCATCAGTGTTGCTGGCGGGTTTAACTTTCTTCCCAAGGTGCAGCTGAAACAGACCCAGGCTGAATCCCTCCTTCAGGAGAGGGCAAGTTCCAGGGAAAGTCTGGCACCCAGCCCGGCTCAATTAATGTTTCCTCAGTAGAGTCCAGCATGTTCACAGGACAGAGGAAGGGAGCATGAGATAACGAGATCAGTGGGTGACCTTGAAGGTCTCTCCAGTCACTGGAGTTGGGTGGCCACGGTTCTATGCCTGGGAACTATCTCAGGCAGTATAGCCAGGAGGGCAAGGCCAACAGCTCTGGGTGCCATTCCGGCCTGGCTCCAAACCTGAACTGCCTTATGCTCCCCCTCATTCCCCCTTCCCAAGTCATTATCTCCACTGAACTACCACTGGGACAGACCCAATGCTAATGAAGCCCTGCGCAGCCTTCTGTCTGCTCCTTATTAGATTTTCTCTCCCATTCCTCACACTTCCCACAGTACACTGCCTTGTACAATGAGGTGACCTACATCTGTTTTGTACAGGCTAACTATAGCTGAGGGCAAGACCACTCAGCTCTTGGTTGACAAACTTTCTTACTAGAGATGAATGTCCCAGAGTTTGTACTGAAGACACCCTAATGTCTGTGACTAACGCCACTAGTGACATCATGACAAGCTCACAGACTCTGAGATGTGAGCCTTGCATATGTTTGTGGCAAAAAGACCATCCCTTCCAACCACGCTATTCTTGAGCAAACAACAAGTCTAGGCTGGAGGAGGTGAACAGGACTTTGCATTGGATATGGAAGGCAAGTTTTAAAATAACCAGGTCAGAGGCCTGAGGAATGAAGTAGGGCTGTTTAAGTAACTGGAGGAAAGCACTCAAGTTATAAAATCAGACAGTTGCTGTTATTGGGTTTCACTACCTTGTTAGTGAACTAGCTGCAGTTCATGGGATCGCAATAAATCAGATATGACTTAGCAACTGAACAATCACCTAGTTAGAAACACCTATCACAGCTGCAGGTAGTTAAACAAAACTTTTCATATCTATGCTCTTAACAAGTTGAGATTGCCAAAAACTGACTTTATCTTAAGGTGAATGCAGTTGGAGGCCTTGGCCAACTTACTCTTGCCCTCCTGTGCCTCAAACTGGTTGGGGCAGCAGTGTGTTGCCCCTGACTAGCCAACCAGCTACGGCCATCCTGCTCCCCTTGGTCAACTGTCTAGTGTTGGCCAATACTACCCAGTCCTGGGCAAGGAGACACACGGGAAAACTGTTGAGGGATTTCTGAGAAACATATTTTTTATTCATAAGATATGATGGAAGCAAAGAAGGTACCGTGACTAGTGCCCTTTCTTCTTACTCAGAATGCTGTGCTTGAAGCTGGGCTTGTCGCCACAAGCAGGAGACCATGATGGAACTGTGATCTCTTTACCACAGACACCCAACGAGGATTTGGTGGCATGAATGACAGACATTTGCTGTCCCTGGTTTACAGTAAATGATGACTTAGAGAGACCCACAATTTAGTGTCACCCAGTGACAATCGAGCCTTAAGCCCGGGTCCTCGGTCCTGGAGCCCTTGGGAAGACCCCTGACAGAGCTGGTTGTGGAATGAGGATTCCAGGAGATAAGAAGAATCTTTCCCAAGTTCGCCTGCTTCTTTTTACCCTGATTAAAAATGTTTACATTCACCACACTCACTCCTCTTCATTGCCATGTTTGCTCTGAAGATACTTTACTTTATTACCAGTCACTCTGGATAACTCCCTTGTTTAACAGGCCTCTCTTACAAAGCACCCTGTTGGCTGTCCCTGGGCTCTGGTGGCTGATGGTTTGACAGCTCCAGGGGTGCACCTGGCCTGAGGGTGAGGCACTGTTGTGTGCTCTCAGACTGAAACAGTCTGGGGACTAACGGCCGGTTAGAGAGACACATACTCCCCAGAGGACACATCTAGCAGCAGCCTTCTTCTAGGAACTGAGTCATTTCCTGTGAGAAATCCATCCTGTCTAGTTTAGGTGGGGCTGAAGCTCCCCTGACTTTCCTTCTCTGCCAGAGGTGGGCATGTGACCCAAGCCAGGCCTATGACCCTCTTGGGGTCCACTCCTGCCCAATTACTTCCTGTAGGCTGGATAGCAGGTTATTTCATCTGTTTTCCTAGTGTCTTGGTTTCATTACCCATGGCCTTATGGGAGCCTCTGAACCTTTCTCTGGAGTCCACTTTTCACGCAGTTACCTCATCTGCTAAGTTGTCCACCTCCCGTAGAACCGCTTTCTCCAGACTTGCAGGTCCTCCTGCCTCCAGCACCTGGCAGAATTACAGAAGGGCAGGGCCTTCATTTCTCTCTTTTGCCTGTGCCCCCTGTCTCCTGCAGAGCCTCTACTAGCCTGATACACTTGGGCACAGCCAACCAGCAGGGGCTCTGTGCTGCTCTGAGGCCGGGAAGCCACTGATAGCCGGTCCCCAAGGCAGCCTGGCTGTGCTCACCACAGCCACTGGCTAGTGGGAAGCGCCATCTCCCGAACTGACTGGACCTGGGCTTGTTTCACCTGTGACTACCTATGGTCAGAGTTCTCAAGACTGTGTGATTCTGTCCTTGGGGCAGGACCAACCTTTAGATCTCTTCCTCCCTTGATATGCCCCCCTCCCTCAAACCCAAGCACCTCTCTCATTTCTCATTTCCTTCCCAGACCAAAAACTTCTACTGCTTTTTTAATAAGAAATTTAGTCCTTCCTGGCTATTGCCCTATCCTGATGAGGAAGGGCCTCTGCAGTAGACTGTATCATTGTTCAAAATACTCATGGTCTGCCCCAGCTTCTTCCCTTCTTCCCCCCAACACACAAATACACACACATACACAAGAGGATGGTATGTTCCTCCCTACCTTTTGGAGTCGGGGCGGCCACGTGACTTGCTTGGATGTTAGCCGTAGGCAGAAATGATAGTGTCACTTCTGAGCAGAGACCTACCCACCAGTTATGGCTTTCTTCGTCTCCTTCTTCCCTTTGCGAGGACACTGGAGTGAAGACAACAGTGAGAAGGAGCACAGCAGACGTGTGACGGGAGCACGGTGGAGGTCTGGGGCCTCAGCCTCAGCTGACCGAGAGCTTCTCGGGCCCTGATCAGCTGGCCCCCTGCCTCCACGGTGCAGTTCTCTCTGCTCTAGGATATACCACAGGGCTGAAATGCAGGAAGGAACCAGTGGGGAGAAGAACTGCCTAACCTACTCCTGCTCTTGGAGTGCCTGAAGCTCTCAGTCCCGAAGAAGCCGGGGTCTTTGTCCTTGACCGTTCTGCCAAGAACATGCCAGGGTCTGTTCTGACCAGCTCTGTCCCCGCTGCTCTGTTTTCCCACTTTTGGAGTAATCACACTCCCATAACTTCTTATTCAGAGCAAAGGACAAGGCTCGCCAAAGAGTGATCAGTGGTTTCATTCTAAATGTGCACTTTGCTTAGAAATACACATAATCATATAAAATTATTTTATTAAAATAGAAAAGCTTTCCAGTACATTGCATTGAAGAGATTTATATAGAAAAAGCAATTGCAACAAACATGCTACATGGCACTGAGAAATTCTGAAAGCTTTAAGTGCCCACTTTTAAACAACATTTTGGTATAATAAGCATGACCCTATATCTTTCAGAGGGTACATATATTTAACACTGAGAAAAACACTTCATGTAAATTCTAAGTTTAGGTGCATATAAACAAGAAGTATTACACTGAATAGCTTATTTAAAACTGTGAAACACATTCAAAGTTTTCTTAGACAACATGCAAACATTTTAATACTTAGATTGACACTTTTAAATATATAAACCACACTTCTTTATAAATCTGTATCAAAAAAGAAAAACAGAACACTTACCTACATTGTGCATATCACAAAAAACAAATGTGTCTTCATGAACGGAAAGTACTGGGTTAACACACATGATTGTCATTTTACAAATATGGCTATTCACCTTCTTCATAATAAAATAGAAAAATCATGTATTATTTACATGAACTACTAACTATTTCACTTTTTGGCAATTACATAAGTAGCAGCAATTGGTTTAAAGGTTAATGTTTAAAAACTCTACATTTAACTTGGATGATACCAAAGGATATACATCTGTTAATATAAAAATGCATAATACAAGATGCTTTGATGCAATATAACTTCTCCCTTTCACAGAAGTCACAGACACACTTTAAGAACCACTGAGACTATCACTTAGGTACAATATATCATGTGAGTGCCATTTACTTAGCCTGCTTTTGCTTAACACATTAAATGGATTCTGAATTAGATTTCTAGAAATTAAATTTGCCTGATGACTTAGATGATAATTCCAAAGATGCCCTATCTTTTTCACATATTCTAGTAACAGTGGCTCTTCACTGTGACTCCCCACTTCTAGACAGAGTGGGGAATTACCTGTAAACAGACACACATGCACTAGGGGCACCTCAATCCTGAAAGAGCTCTGAAATGGAGTTTCTGTGATACGAAGCCCATAGTAAACGTGAGCTGCCTTTCTAAAAAGTGATCACCTCATTTATCGACGATAGAGAATTCGTTCTGTGGCGGGGGACCCGTCTAACGAGCAAAATGTGAACTGCAAGGCGGCCAGTGACCCACCGGAAGGAAGCGTCCTCTTTCACTCAGTGTTTGGAAGAACAGACTGTAACACTGGTAGAGATAAGGCAAAACCCTCACTAATACTGGTAATTAAGAAAATACTGTATGATGAACAGAGGTTAAGAGGTGACAAGTGCTTTGCCTTGGCCACTATTCAACTACAAACCAGCAGTCCTATATGTTTTTGCCAAAGTAAGAAAATTAGATCAAGGAATATTTTGCAGTTTTCACGGGCAGTCAGTTGTGTCTCCAGACTCTGTGGACGGTGAGGCCCAGGCTGAGGAGGAAGAGGCGGGGCTGACGGGGAGGCCGGGCCCTGGGAGCGGCTGAGGGAATGCTGCTGGAGACCCGCACCTGCGAGATGACCAGGGCAGACAGAGGGACGTGGGCTGCCAGAGTGGGGCTGTCAGAGTTGATAAGAGATTCGATCTTCTCTGCTTCCTTATTGCAGGCCTCAATCTGGGAGAGGATAATCAGATCCTTTTAATATAAGTCACAGAACCCACGACAAAGGTCAAGTCAGACAAATTCCACATATATCCCAACACACGAAATACGTCTTCTCTTTATCCTTTTTTTTAGCAAAGTAGTATTCTGATAAAGTCTTAATTTATTACACACATAATAACAGCATCAATGGAAACCAAATTAAATAAAAAGCCATGACGCACACAGCCACTGCCCTTTCTTTCCCCACAGTCCTGTTCACCCCTTATTCACATTTAGACATTATCTCTCATGCTTAAACACAGTCACAGGGATTGGCCTCTCCACGGCCACCTACACATCAGGAGGAGAGGAAAGCACTGAGACAGAGTGAGCTTCCTCACTGTGGCAGCTGAGAAACCGCTGTGTTCACTCCCATCACTGGGACCCTCCCTATGCTGATGCTGAAACCTGCGCCTCCTGAGTGAGGTTCACCTCTAGATTATGAGGAAGAAAACTCGGGGCCCAGATCAGATCCGTTCTGGTGGGCTCCTCCTCCCCAGGAGGAGCACAGCCCTTGGGAGACAGGAGTCTGCCTGGCCTTGTCACTGCGTGGCTGGTGGCCGTCCCTGCCCTCCCTGGGCCTCAACCGCCTCATCTGGAAGATGAGCAGAGGCCTTCTGAGTCACAGCATCTCCACCCCCCCGCCACGCATTCTGTCGGAAGCCACTCCCTGGGAGCAGCCCCGTCCTCAGAGCCGCTGTGCTCTCCTCCCTTCCGCCCTCCCGATTCAAAGCGACAGGATGGCTGCACGACCCGTGCTGACCGCACCTGTAAAGCTTTTGGATAATGGTCCACAGGAATGATGAGGATCACAATTTCTGACTCAATGCTGAAGTACCCAAACACGTCACACTGTGGGACGGACACATGCATGCGGATCTTCTGAAGTATTTCCAGAACTGTGATTGGCTTTTTGTTTGTAACCTAGAAAGAGAAAACTATTCTATTACCTGAAAAAAGAATTCCTTACTACTGCCTAAGCTGTCTTGTTACCTTGCCTAAAACAAGAAGGCTCTTTTAATCCTAAGAGCGGGGCAGGGCCTTGCTGGATGAATTCTAAATATTCACAGAACCCATTCCAGTAGGGTTTTTTCTGACTGCTGAGTTTTCTGGCTGACATAAACACTCTCACCAGGAGCACGTTTTAAGGGACAGTTCTGAGTTGGATGCCATGGGGAAATAATTAAAGCCTTCCTGTAAAAATATAGCTGTTTTCATTGAAATGGGTGCAATTTTTTTAGGTAGTGGTGGTGTTGGTTGCTACACTTCTGCAATCTCATCTTCACAAGAGTGAGCAGCAAAAATAATGGTACAAAAAAGGAAAAGGGGCGAAACCATCATGGGAAGATGGTCGATTCTGGACATACCCCAAGAGGAATGGGGACCACCTGAGGGCGGGTGACCCTGAAACTATCTGGGGGTCTACCAGCTGCTGGCTGCCTGGCTCTGGCTCCAGCCCTCACGTGGCTCACTGTGCTGGCAGGAGACCGTTTTTAAGCAAGCGCAGGCTCCCTGGTGGCAGAGAAGGTCACTGCACAGCCAGGCTGTACAGGTAAGGGGCACGGGATCGGGGGCAGATGGCCTGAGCTCAAAGCCCAGTCCTCCTGGTTGGGGGCTACCACACGGCCTTGGCCAAGATGTCCCTGTGCAAATTAGATTCTTCATCTATGAATGGGATGACACATCTGTCTGTATGACTACCGACAAGTTTATTAATAAGCTTTCAATAGTACAGGGCACATAAAGCAACTTACCTTAGCAATAGTATCCAGTTTTTCTTTGTCAAACAAAACTCTTAACATGCCAGCACATAATGGGCAACAGGCACCTGTATAACAGAAACCATTCTGTTTGCGTTCAGAATTAGAAATAAAGAAAATTCAAAATAGTTGGTGAAATTACCAGCCCTTTATTTTGTGCTAGGAAAGTTACTGAAGTCTTTCCTGATGACTGCACTTTCAGATATATTCCCTGATCAACCTGGAGTCTAATGATCTATACATTTACCAAAATCCTTCCTCCATTCCTGCTTTCCTCCTGTTCCACTTCTCAGGTGGGGCAGCTGTGGCTTTATACAGCACAGGGCGAGCTGGCCTTTCCAGAGACACAGGGCCTAGACCCTGCCCTACCCAGAACTCACTGTGTGATCCCAGGCAAGTGTCTCCTGTCGGCAAAACACAGGAGCAAGTGTTTCAGAGATTCCATGGGTGTTTTGATTCAAGCTGAATTTTAAAAGTTATTGAAACTGTTAAAAAACAATAATAACATGTCAGACCACGGTCTCCAGGAGGAAGGAGGCTCTGTTCGCTCACGGCTGTGCCCCCAGCACCTAGATGCCTGTCTATGACATAGTGGATGCTCAAGGAACATTTGCTGAATTCCTGGACAGAGGAATGAACTTGTCAGATTCCAGGTAATCTGTTCTGTGCAGACTTGGGATAAAGCCTCTTCTGCTCCCTCTGCTTAACCCAAGTATGAAACTGAAAGGTAAGCTGTTTGAAAACTGTTTACTGCTTATAACAGCCTGTTTGAAACAAGACTTCTTAATTACATGCAACCAAAACAATTAAATTAGACACTAAGCTCAGTCTAAGACAACAACTATCTTGTTTTTCTCAATTTAAAATGTTTGTGTTCATCAAAAATACTTCAATTGTTCATTAATGTCCAATTCTTTATTCATTAACTTTATAATAGGCAAACGTTATGCCTTTGAACTAGTAACCATAATTCCAGCAGTTAAATATTGCTGTTTATCTATTGGTGCTTGAGTTAAGACTGAAATAAGTTTTCCACATTGTTTTAAAACCACTAGACCAGATGATGTCCAAGACAGATCCACCACTTTTTAAGGTAGGCCCAGAGAAACGCATCAATCAGCATTAGGTGGAGTTAAGATTTCCTGAGAAGTTTAAACACACTTAAGTCAGCTTTATTCTTAGTGACTCACTCTCTGAGGACAGATAAGCAAATCCTCCCAATCCCGCCCCTGCCCCACCCCCAGCGCTGGCAGCCTACCAGGTGGGATGATGGGTTTGCACTCGGTCGCTGAGAGTGAAGGACACTTCACGGCAGCACACTCAGCCACAGAACTGTACTCGGAGAGGACCCCGACAGCCTGGCAGGGCCCGTGGTAATCGACCGCCACTCGGTCCGAGTAGGCCGCACACACGCTGCTGTAGGTCTCCCCGTTGTGCCCACATACGAGCTCCGGGGTCCTGCAGAAAGACTGAGCGCAAGAAAGCACACTTAGCGGTAAACTTCTAAGGGCACTTTTCCTAACCAAGAATAGGTCTCCCTACTTTCAAGAAGCAGAAAAGACAGTATAAATTCTTGGACACTCTGAAAAGGCTGCTAAACAGGGCGTGGGGTTAGGGGCAACAGGACCGTCCCAAGACTGAATGAAGAGACTACTTTTCTCAGCCTCTCAGGGACCTGGGTGCTCATTCTCTGAGAACTGATATGAGATAAAAAGCCACCCTTCCTCCCAACTTCCATTATTCTAGAAGAGCCTGTTAGAAGAAAACAAGACCAATCTCGATGCAAATTCAGAGGCCTTATCATTTCACACTGGTTCATGGGGTTGCAGAGTCAGACATGACTTAGCGACTGAACAACAACAGGATAGAGAGGGAAGAGAGGAGAGATGAGGGGAGCAGACGGGCTCTGCATCATGAAGAACATCTAAGAGAAAACCTGCAGCCAGGAAGAGGGTCCAACAAGAGGGAATTCAGAGTAAAGGTATCAGTGCACTTAGAAGATAGGCTCTGAGGGGAAACAAGCCCAGGGAGATGAGCTGAAGGGATTTTCCTTCAGTGAAAATCAGGAAATGGGAAGCCAGCACGTCGGTGTCAGCTGGCTGTGGGCAGGGATTGCTGGTTCAAAGCTGGGCTTCTTCCAGGCAGACGGCCCAGCATACAGATCACTGGTGTGTATGGAAGGTCTCAGTGGGGTTGTCCTCAGGGTTATTTTTTGACATGAATACCAATTTCACAACCCTCAAAGGCTAAAGTAAACTGATGTAAGACATTAAGTTTTAGAGAAGTTTTCAGTCAGTTTTCAGGACCTTGGGTGGAACTTCAGTGGAAAGAGTAGGGGGAAAGCTCTTCTCTTGGTTGTTTTCCCTCACATTCTTCCTGGGCTATTTTCTTTCTTTTTTATTATTTTTGTTTGTGCGGTTTTCTAACGAAACAGTTCTGGGCCCACAGAACAAGGGGAAGTGGAGATGCTGCTGACTCATGCCAGGGGTGCAAGGCTTTAAATTCTTTTCTAGTGGCTGGTGTCAAGAAGCCTCTCTTTTTGCTCTGTATACTAGAGGTGCAACGGGTCATGAGCAAGGGGGCCCTCCAGTGTTAGGAGGAAAAGCCAGCCTCGGATGGTTCATTTTTGATAGAAGACTGAGTGCTCTAGATTTGATGGGATTCACAGAAGACCCTCAGTGGGGGGTCTCACTGCTGATTCACATGTAAAAGATCATAAGCTGATTTATGCTCAGTGTACTTGGGCTTGTCAGGCCAACAGTGGTACCTGGCACGGGCCTTTGTATAAGAGGCTTTTCCCTCTCTGGTACAAAGTGCAGAGATTGCTGTGCTCCATGTGGTTTGTATCACAAACAGGATCTCGGACCTGGTCACAGGTGAGCTGTCTTGGCAAACACTCATATTGGCTACATCCAAATTTATCAAACGTCGTCAGGCAGACTTGTGGTTTGGGTATGCATCTGAAAAACACAAATGCAGCACCATGAGTCAATGCTGTAAGAGACTAGAGTGGGGCTGGCAGGCAGTGGTCGGGCACGGGAGGCTGAAGAGAAAGTAAGAGAGCGATCAGAAACAGTCCCTGTGCCTGAGAGCTCATGGAGACTGGGGAGTCGACATGCATGTAAAGCAGGCCGCCAGGTGGAAACCACATGCCAAATGCTCATGAGAATGAGTTATTCTGACTGGGGAGCCTGGAGAAAGCACACGGAGGAGGCGGCGCGGGAGGACGAAGGCCTACCCGTCAGAGGGAGTAGCAGGGCAAGCGTGTGATGCCCCAGACCCTGTGGTGCTGGGGGAGAGAGCAGAGGGCCCTGCGGGCAGAAGCGAAGGCTGCTCGGGGTGGAGGAGGCATGACACGACACCACCAGACAGGTCAGGGTCCGCTGTTGGAGGTGTTCTTATCAATAATAGATGACGCCTTTTTCAGGGACTTAATTATCAGCTTGACTAATATGAGTCTATCTTAAGAGAAAACTTCACAGCATATGCTGAAAATTTCAGGCTTCTGTGTTTATAAAGTTGAGGACCTGATGCTGGCTGGTTGTGAATCACTGAGAGAATGCCACCCCATGAAGCTGGGTTTTCCTAGTAATACCCGGTCCTGGCTTCATCCTCAATCTCTGAACTTCTGCAGAAGGGTTAGGGAGGATGGTTCTTTTCTTCTTTAGACTTTTTTGCCTCTCTCATTTCTATAAAGGGTATCTATAATTTTCTATAAGAAGATAGAACCTAAGAAATGTTTAACTTTTACTGGGTATTTAAAATAATAGGACACATAAATATTCATCTATAACATAAAAGGAGAAGAATATATTAGCTAACATCATATAATTTCAAAGGAAATTACTTCTTTTTACACGAAATTACCACCACCATCACCACTACTACCTATGGCTACCTTTTCTGATGAGATTTAAAATTAGGATGTATGTAAAGACAAATTAAGAAAACAATCCAATTTACAAGCACATTTACAAAGAATAAAATATCCAGGAATAAATTTAACTAAGGAGCTTTTTTTTTGTGCTGGTATCGCTCTCGCAAACATGGTGAACGTTCCAAAAACCCGCCGGACTTTCTGTAAGAAGTGTGGGAAGCATCAGCCCCACAAAGTGACACAGTACAAGAAGGGCAGGGATTCTTTATATGCCCAGGGAAAGTGGTGTTATGACAAGAAGCAGAGTGGCTATGGTGGGCAGACTAAGCCGATTTTCCGGAAAAAGGCTAAAACTACAAAGAAGATTGTACTGAGGCTTGAATGCATTGAGCCCAATTGTAGATTGAAGAGAATGCTGGCTATTAAGAGATGCAAGCATTTTGAGTTGGGAGGCGATAAGAAGAGAAAGGGCCAAGTGATCCAATTTTGAGCTTCATATTTTGTTTTATTATGAAGACAATAAAAGTTTGAGATCGTTTACTTAAAAAAAAAAATTTAACTAAGGAAAACTATAAGACACTGATAAAATAAACTGAAGACAACACAAACAGGTGGAAGGATATACTATGCTCATGGATTAGAAGAACTATTGTTAAAAATGACAGTTACCCGAGATAAGCTATAGATCCAATGCACTCCCTATCAAATACAATAAGCATTTTTCATAGAACTAGAACAAGTAATTATAAAATTTGTATGGAAACACAAAAGTCCCTGAATAGCCAAAACAATCTTGAGAAAGAACAGAGCCCTCCCTGATTTCAAACTATACTACAAAGCTATAGTCATCAAACTATATGGTACTAGCACAAAAACATACACATAGATCAATGAACAAAACAGAGAGTCCAGAAATAACCCCACATTTATACAGGCAATTAATGTATGACAAAGGAGGCAAGAATATATAATGGAGAAGAGATAGTCTGTTCAATAAATCGTGTTGGGAAAACTGGACAAGTACATGTAAAAGAACCACATTGGACCACTTTCTCACACCATATACAAATACAAATTCAAAATGCATTGATGACTTAAATATAAAACCTGAAACCATAACACTTCTAGAAGAAAACACAGGCAGTATGCTCCCTGACATTAGTCTTAGTAATATTTTTTAGGTACATCTCCTCAGGCAAGGGAAGCAAAAGCAAATATAAACAAATGTTGACTACATCAAACTAAAAAGTTTTTGCACAGCAGAGAAAACCATCAACAAAATGAAAAGGCTGCCTACTGAATGGGAGAACATATTTGCAAAAGATATATGTGATAAGGGGTTAATATCCTAAATATGCAAAGAACTCAAAGAACTCAACATCAAAACAAACAAACAAACAAACAAAACCCTAACCCTAAACAACCCAATCAAACAATGGGTGGAGGATGTGAAGAGACATTTTCCCAAAGAAGACAAACAGATGGCTAATAGGAACAGGGAAAGATGCTCAACATCATTAGTAACCAGGGAAATGCAAATCAGAATCACAATGAGACATCACCTCACACCTGTCAGAATGACTATTATCCAAAAGACAACAAATAAGTCTCGATGAAGATGTGGAGAAAAGGAAACCCTTCTGTGTGCATGTGATGTATGCCACCCAGGTGCACACACAGGACAGAATATTGCTCAGTTATAGAAAAGAATGAATCTGGTTACAACATGGATGGACCTAGAGAGTGCTATGTTAAAGTGAAATAAGACAAAAAGAGAAAGACAGATTTCAGTTATACTGGGACTATAAAAAGCGAAACAAATGAACAAACATAGTAAAAGAAACACAGTCATAAATACAGAGAACAAAAAGGTGATTGCCAGAGGGGAGGAGAGTGGGAGAGGAGAGAAACTGGTGTGGAAGACCAAGAGGTACAAAATTCCAGCTGCACAACAAATGAATCGTAGGTATGGAGTATACAGTATGGAGAACAGAGTTGATAATTATGTAATATCCTTATATGGTGAAAGATAGTAACTAAACTTACTTCAAAATGTATAGAAATATTGAATCACTATGTTTATACCAGGAACTAACACAGAGTTGTAGGTCAATTATACTTTAAAACAGACAAACTCATAGGAAAAGATTAGATATGTGGTTACCAGAGGCAAAAGGTGAGGGGAGGGAGACTTAGATGAACGTAGACAGAACCAGACATGGAACAACAGACTGGATCCAAATTGGGAAAGGAGTACGTCAAGGCTGTATATTGTCACCCTGCATATTTAACTTAAATGCAGAGTCAGTCAGTCAGTCAATGCAGAGTACATCATGCGAAATGCTGGGCTGTACAAAGCACAAGCTGGAATCAAGACAGCCGGGAGAAATACCAATAACCTCAGATATACAGAGAAATCGCCCTTAGGGCAGAAAGTAAAGAGGAACTAAAGAGCCTCTTGATGAAAGTGAAAGAGGAGTGGAAAAGTTGGCTTAAAACTCGACATTCAAAAAACAAAGATCATGGCAACTGGCCCCATCACTTCATGGTAAATAGATGGGGAAACAATGGAAACAGTGAGAGACTTTATTTTTTGGCTCCAAAATCACTGCAGATGGTGACTGCAGCCATGAAATTAAAAGACACTCGCTCCTTGGAAGAAAAGCTATGACCAACCACAGCATATTAAGCAGAGACATTACTTTGCCAACAAAAGTCCATCTAGTCAAAGCTATGGTTTTCCCAGTAGTCATGTATGGATGTGGGATTTGGACCATAAAGAAAGCTAAGTGCTGAAGAATTGATGCTTTTGAACTGTGGTGTTGGAGAAGACTCTTGAGAGTCTCTTGGACTGAGAGGAGATCCAACCAGTCAATCCTAAAGGAAATCAGTCCTTAATATTCATTGAAAGAACTGATGTGATGAAGTGACTCATTGGAAAAGACCCTGATGCTGGGAAGATTGAAGACAGGAGGAGAAGGGGACGATAGAGGATGAAATGGTTGCATGGCATCACCGACTCAATGGACATGAGTTTGAGCAAGCTCCGGGAGTTGGTGACAAATGGACAGGGAAGCCTGGCGTGCTGGCAGTCCATGGGGTGGCAAAGAGTTGGACATGACTGAGTGACTGAACTGAACTGAACTGAGTCAAAAGATAACAAACTTCTAGTTATAACATAGTGATGTAATGTACAACATGATAAATATGATTATGAGAGTTATATATGGAAGTTATTAAGAGACTAAATCCCAAGAGCTCTTAGCACAAAGAAGAAATTTTTTTTCAATTTCTTCAAGATGATAGATGTTCACTAAACTTACTGTGGTAGTTATTTCATGATGCATGTAAATCAAATCATTGTGCTGTACACCTTAAACTTATATAGGGTTACATGTCAAGTCTATCTCAAAAAAACTAGAAGAAAGAAATTGGAATGCATTGTCATAATTTTATAGAAATTTAAGACATTTGAAGAGAAATGAAAAAGAAGACTATTTAGAACTTCACTATTTACTAACATGAAGGAATGAGGACAAAGAATATCATGAGAAATTTGGTAATTTTGGAAGGAAAAACATTACTAATTTGAATACACAGAAATAAGAGGATCAACAGGAAAGGCTGAGAATCAGGGAGGGGGCGACAAATTAAAATAAACACTATTAGGGCAGGGACTTGGTCTTGTTGACTACTGTGTCTTAGTGTTTAGAAAGATCAGTACAACAGTAGATACTTGATGAATGAATACGACTTCATTTATTTTCAAATTTCTATTTTTTAAACAACTATTTTTTGAGCAGATAATACAAGCCCATGGAGAAAATGAAAAAGACAAAATTGTATATACTGAAAAGTCAGTCTCTTGCCTATTCTTTGTATCCCAGTCACCTTCCCTGGAGGTAATCACTTATTACCAACTTCTTATTTATTCTTCCAGAGATATTTTATATAAGAACAAGCATTTATACATGCTGACTCAAAAAGCATGTGCACTTAAAATTTTGATATGCTTGACCAAACTGCCCTCCATAGAGGAGGTACCAATCTTTGCCCCAATCCTCTCTTGTATGGGAGTGCCTATTTCCCTATATTTCATTATCAAACTTTTTTATCTTTACCAATCTGGTAGATGGAAAATGGCACACAACTGTAGTTTTAATTTATATTTCTCTTAATCTGAGAGGGGTTAAGCATTGTGGTAGATTGGCTAGAGCTCATTCATCAAATTCATTTAATTTTCTTCCTGGGCACACATCTAGACTACATTTCCCAGCCTCCCTGGAAGAGTTGGCCAAATGAATAAGTTCTAGACAATGGAATGTGGCTAGAAGTAGAGATGAATTTCAACTTGGCCTATAAAAGCTTTTCAGGAGCAACCTCCATCATCTCCCTTCTCTTATTTGCCTGACAGAGGAGGACTAGGGGCTGTAGGAGCTGGCTGAGTTGCGAGATGGAAAGATCCTAAGTTTCTGAATCACATGTGGAAGGCCAACTGCTGATCACCCAAATGGACTGTATTTGAACTTCCACTATGAATATTTGGGTGTTTGTATACAGTAGCTAGAGTTACTCCCCCAACTAATAAAAGCATCTTTTTAAGTGTTTAAGAAGCATTTGTATTTCTTTTCCTATGTTTATGTCCTTGGTCCATTTCCCACTGGTTATAGATCTTTGCCTATTTTTATTAATATATTAAGTTGTTCATCTTTTTCATATTGACTTGTAGGGATTCTTTATATTATCAGAGATTGTACTGAAACCCCTTTCTCTTAAGATTTCTCTTAATTTGTCATTTGTTACCATGCAGAAAAACTTTGTTTTCATGTAGCTGTATTTTTCAAACTGTTCTTTTATATTGATTTTGTATCATACCCAGCCAGGCCTTCCCATTTTTGAGATTTGTGGTTTTACTATAAAAGCAAGTCAATCTTATTCAGAAAGGTTACCAAATAGAAGGAAGCAAACAGATAAACAGATACCAAAACAACTCTCAATTCTACATCCCGACACAACTCTATTATCCTTTTGACTTATTTCTTTATCATGTTTTCTTATGCATAACACCCTATCTTCTTTGCAGAACAACTCTTTGGGCTTAGTTTTCATGATGTAAACTTTGCTAGACAGGGACAAGCTCTCTTTGCTAAAAGAGAATTTAAATTTGTTAAAATAAATTTAACACAAGAGAAAATTTTTCCTTCCCTCCCTTCATACCGCACCAAGGTTCTTGGGATGGAGAAGCAATTGCTTATTCTCCACAAAAGCTTCAAAAGGCAAGGACTGTGGTGCTGGGACGTGTCTTACTCAGCTCTCTGAGGCAGTCAGTGAAAACTTCAATTCCAGAAGCTTGAAACCTAAGAGAATCAGCAGTACCCTTAACCTGCGACCACCACAAGCAGAAATCCATCACTAAGGTGACATCAACTGCACTCTGAGCTCCTGAGGAAACCACAGAGAGAGGAGTCCCTAAACAAATAACTTCATAAAATACTGAAAGTGCACTTCCAGAGATTTCTCATGTTTGATCCCTGCAGTGGAGGCAGGTTTTAAGTAGACTATTTTCTATTACCACCAGGCATCAGTAGCTAATAAGAAGAATGCATCCATTTCTCTTGTCTTAGCTGCTGCTTCTCCTTGCCTCACACTTTGTTTCTGTCTTACAGAACTGGTCTAGCTTCTGGCATACACCATNCAAGGTTCTGAAAAGCCATTTGTCTGCACAACAACTTTTCTTTGTTCCATTTATTGCCTGCTAACTGAGGGCTTCCAGATCTTGATCCCAGGGATAGAGATCCTTGCAAACTAAACTACGGGTAGGAAAGGTAAAGAATGTTTCTCCCAATCTGATATATAAAATCTGGAATTTAGAGGTTTGATTCTGGTTTAGGGGATTTCCAGAATGTTCAAGGATAATACCAAAAAACAAGACAAAGGATGAAGGTTGTAAATGCCTCACATAGATTCTTTCCACCTCCTTAGGGAGGGGGAAGAACAAGACGTTAGTAACTTGGGAAGTTATTGTAACTTAAAACTTAAGAATTTTTATGAGCATCTCCTTCTGAGTCCTGTGTAGACTGGGGCCCTATCTGAGTCCTCCCAAATGTGTATACTTTGTGGCCAGTCAAATCTCCTTAGAGTCTTCTAGCTAAATAGTCTTTTTTTTTTTTGTCTGTGCCGCATGCCTCATGGGATTTTAGTTCCTCTACCAGGGATAGAACCCAGGCCCTCGACAGTGAAAGTGTGGAGTACTAACCACTGGACTACCAGGGAAATCCCATTAAACAGTCATTAATGTAACTCATCCCAGGACATGAGGGGCTACACACTACAGAGAAAAAGGGTCCTGCTAGTCGTAAACTTCAACTTCTAAACACACTGTGATGTAAGTAAATAAGTAAAAGTCTTCCTTGTAAATCTTTAGTTCATTTCTCATCCCACATCATTTCTTGGTTTCTCTAGGCAGAATGAAGTGTCCTCACCAGAGCGCAGCAGACAAAGGATAAAAATAAAGGACACAACAAGAAGACAATAAAGCGGCAAACCCTGGTGCTCACTAGGGTGGATGGAGGACGGGCTGGAGCTGGTCCTGCCTCTGCCTCCCCATCAGTCTGCGCTCCCTTCTTGTTACTGATCTCCCTTTTATTTCCAGTGTGCTGGAGATACGAGGTTGGTAAACCCCGTTCTGTTCTCTTCCTACCCCATTCCATGTGTAATACTAACTCAGAGTCAAGCTGCTGCTGCAGCAGCAAGAAATGGTTTAAGGGCAACTACCTAACTCCTTCTTGCCCAGAACCAGGTTTGGGGAAAAAGTAGATACCAGTGAATACTGGCAACCATGCTGTTGCTGTGACAACTAGAGTTTCTTCTCAAGAAAACAGCATCTCATCTCACTAACCTTGTTGCTTACTGTGGCTGATGTGAGCGTAATGCCAGCAGCATAAAGCCTAGGGAAGTCAAGAAAGTAGTATTCTTGATTGACTGTTCATAAAAATTAATTTTCAAAATTACAATAACTTCCCAAGTTACTTCCCTGTTTTCCCCCCTCTCTAAGGAGATATGAATGGAAGGAATCTATGTAAGGTGTTTACAACCTCTGTCTTTGTCTTGCTATTGTTATCACCCTTCAACATTCCAGAAAACTCCCAGACTTGACATATCTAAATTATAGATTTTATATCTAGATTGGGAGAAATATTCTTTACTTTTTCTTCCAGTAGCTTTGTTTATAGGGGTCCCTGCCTATATGAATCCAGTAAGCCAAGGTAGGACAAGGAAGAACATGGTTTAAAAAAAACAAACACAGAAGCAAATTTACAAAATACATGGACACTTTAGACCATAATGGTAGGGGTAAATGGGTATTTCAGCAGGTAGAAAAATTCCATTTAACTAAAACTATACCAATCACTGGCCCTATTCTTTTCGACTTATGGAATTTCAAAAGGACCTTAAGAAACCACTTACTTTAATGCCTTCAATTTATAGAAGAGGAAGCAATCCAGAGAGCAAAGCACCCTGCTCTCAGGCTGTGTGCTTACTCTGCCGTGCACACTTGCAGCTGGCGAGAGGCCGCCTTCAAGGAGAACAGGTACAGGGGTGAGGACGGCTGCTAGCCGGCCACGGTTACCTGTGAAGGTGCGGCGGTCATCTTCTGAGCTGTGCTCACTGAGACACAAGCGGGTGGAACACACCAAATTGCCAGCAAAACAAGAACAGATATTGCAGTCGACATTAAAGGAAGTTCCGTGACCTGAGAAAAAGAGAAATAAAAAGCTGAGCTGTGTTATGAATTTATAAATAAATCACAAATTAAAAATTACATAGTTTAAAAAGTTTTAAAATAGAAATTCTTGAAAGATGACTTCTGAATATATAAACTAGGGAATTAAACTTGTAATATTGGTGTTTTCATATTGACCTCCCCCCATATCCCCTCCAAACCCCTAATATGCTCATCTCACTAGACTGCTCCAAATTCTCTCCTATCTTATCATGTAAAGCACGACTTCAATTCCTCATTCCAGGTTCTCTTGTACAGAAAAGGTATTTACTCAGTAAAAGTTTATGGAAAGAATGAGTTTATCTTCCAATGTTTTCTGTGATTCAAGGTACCTATGTTACATTTTAGCTAATTAGAATATGGACTAAGCAATGAATACCTGACTTGCTGGTCTAAGCAGAAATTTGCAAGCTCTTTTTAGTCAAAAGTACTCTTCTTAAAATAAGATCTCACACAGAAGAGTAGAACAAGAGGCATAGAAAAGCTGAACTACTCTAGTTGATGGGTAAGGGGATGGATGCAGAGGTAGCAGAATGAGCAGGTGGGGTGGGGAACACATTCTCAAAAGTGGTATTTTTTTTCACAGTTTTTTAGGTTATATATTGATATGAAGAGTTACTAAGGGCTATAAGCAAAAGATGGTTTAAGGAAGCAATGAGAAAGCAAGACCCTCAGACTTTTAGAGAAGGTGATCAAACGGGGAGGCACTCTTAATGTGCTCTCTCCCAACCCCTAGCCAACAGTGCAGTTCCCATCCCTTTGCTTTCCATGAGGTCAACCTCTGGGTTTTACTTCTGGGAAAGGGGCAAAGCAGAGACAGACTGTTGAGAAATGGGTGGGAAGGAGCAGACCTGTGTCCTTGCCTGTGGAGGGCAAGGGCGTTGTTGTTAAATAGGCCTAGGACTGAATTCTGCTTTGATCATTTACTAGTTGGGTGACCTTTCTAAGCATCAGCTTCCTTACATAGTACCTGTATTAAACATCTGGGAGGATTTAATGAGATAACACAGGCCAAGACTTAGTATATAGTATTGGCACATAGTTAAGAGTTCAGTAAGTGTTAGTTACTATCAGCTGTTAGTAGTCCCTTTTGATTAGGCTTCTAAGAGAGTTCCTTAGAAGCCCTTGTGTTCCATAGAGTTTGAAAAATACTTCCCTAGAATATCTGATTTGTAGACTTTTAATCCCTGGTGAGGAAGCCATCCAATGTTCTCCCTACCAAGTTAATTCAACTAATCTTGTGTTAAAAACAAAATAAAACAAAAAAAAAAACAAATAAAAACAGTTCAAGACTCACTTTTTCTTTTTCCTCCAACAATACAAGACTTCTGAAGGTCTATACAGTGCATCTCTATACAGTTTTCTAAGAGTCCACTTTGCCCACATGAGCAAATTTTGTAACAACCAACTTCCCCTGAAGATGATGGCACCTGGATCAGTGTCCCTTGACGGACAATAAAATCAGATGCTTCTCCCAATTTGCAGCCTGTAGGGACAAAAACGAGCTGAGAGAGCTGGTACTGTTCCCTGATATTGTTCTGTGATATCAGATACACTTCACGTAAGTTTTGTAGATATTGTGCGGCCACTAAAGATTACGTAATAAAACTTTCACTAAACTAGGGAATTGCTTTGGTTCACTGGCCACAAACAAACAAAAATTCCATGTTCCATCTGTGAAGTGGTGGTGATTAAAGGACATATACCCCAAAGTTAGCGACAGTTCTTACAAAAAAGCTGTAAGAAAAGTAGTTCTTAAAAATTTTTAAGGCTTATCAAATATATTTTAAAATCACAGATGTTTAAAAAATGTAACATGGCAACTGAGAGTAATTTTAGAATAATTTGGTCAGAAAACTTTTAGAGATGGAATGAAGACACATCTTAAATTCAAAGAAAAGTGAATACTTGATTGGACTTAAGGAAAATCCGTTTATTTTCACTTTTAACAAGATTTATTATGATGCTATAGCTGATATCAGTTCAGTTCAGTTCAGTCGCTCAGTCATGTCTGACTCTTTGCGACCCCATGAATCGCAGCACACCAGGCCTCCCTGTCCATCACCAACTCCCGGAGTTTACCCAAATCATGTCCATTGAGTTGGTGATGCCATCCAGCCATCTCATCCTCTGTTGTCCCCTTCTCCTCCTGCCTCCAATCCCTCCCAGCATCAGGGTCTTTTCCAATGAGTCAACTCTTCACATGAGGTGGCCAAAGTATTGGAGTTTCAGCTTCAGCATCAGTCCTTCCAATGAACACCCAGGACTGATCTCCTTTAGGATGGACTGGTTGGATCTCCTTGCAGTCCAAGGGACTCTCAAGA